TATTTCAATTTTTATTGCCCTCCACTTTCATTTATATATATATATATTCTTGTTTATATACATTTATGATAAGTGTTGATATTAAGTATTTCATTTTTTAGTTATTTCTGAATCGTTTCTCTTAATGACAAGCTGATATATACATAGATGTTTATAATAAATGCAGGGTTAGCCCCTTCAGATATAAGCTGGTACCAGAGGGGCCCTGTTTTACATAACGCATAATCATAACAAATGATAATCACAAAATAATAAAATGACAATAGAAATTAAAAAATTATAAAATTATGGTCATATACATAAGAATATTTAATATCAAGGCTTTTTTGCTCCCTCTTTCTGAATGAAATGAGAAAAAATGAGCCTTTGTTATAGCTAATTATGCTATCTTTTTTCAACTTTGCAGCTGGAAAAAGTACCAAAAAAGTTGCAAAAGAAACTAATAGCACCGCATCTGTAAGGAGTGCTATCTTTAAAGAGATAAACAGACAGTATTAAAATTATAATGAACCAGTTATACATGTATCTCTCTTGTTTGTCTTTCTCTTGTTTGTCTTAATTTTTGGTTTACGAGACTACATTTGTGTTCTTTTGCAGGTACACCATTAAAGTCTTTTCCTGGCCTAGGAAAATTAGCAGCCAAAACAACTTTAACATGTATGTACTAGGTGTTTTCCAAAACAAAACAAAAACTTTTACTGGGGCTCTTTTTCCGTTTTGGATCCATTAGAAAGATAATGATTTATACATATATCATAGTTTAATAACTATTGTATTGTAATAATGTAGATGACAGTGATTTGGAAGAATTAGATGATGGAGATAATGATAACATTGGTATGCGAGTCCAATACTCTAAGAACTTAATTTTTTTAGTTGTACCAGCTATATATTTTTGAAATCATTTGTTATTCAGATAACAAGTGCATCTCAAGGATTAATTTCTTTTATCCTTTTTATAGGTTTATCAGACAGTAGTGAAGAAGGCCCCGAACTTGGTGGTATGGTTTATCTTCTTATCTCTTCATTGTGTGCTTTCTAGTTTGGACCAAATCATTGGTCATAGGATGAGCATTACCAACACTGCAGGCCCAATAAAGAAATAAAAATTTGCAAAAAAATAAAAAAGTTTGTAACATTTACATTTGTACAGTACATCATTGATTTTAATGATATATTATATTTTGTGTACCATTTTCAGGTTCATCTTCACCATCAAGAAGCTAGATGAATCAACTTCATGTAAGTTAAATAAAGTTACATCTTTTTTGCTAACAGACTTCTAATCAACTATGCAGAGTATATGTTATATTACTTTTTTCTTATTTTTATTTCTCTTTAATTAGCAGCTGCAAACAGTCCCGCAGCACAATTACCATCGCCATCATGTAAGTAATGGTATAAGGCTTAGTTACATTAGACTTGCAATAACAAGTTCCATGGTTACTTTAAGATGGATATTTCAAATTGTTGTGGGATTGATAGACTTCAGTTACAAGAAAGGAATTTAATATCAGCTATAAAACTAGCAAAATATCATTCTAAACATAGCAACAACAGTGATATCTAGATCRGAAGGTCACCAGCTTAGTAGAGACCAGCTACATACCTGTGCAGGGTTCCCACGGTCAGGGAAAAGTCAGGGAATTCTGAATTTTTTTCAAGCTCAGGGAATTGTCAGGGAATTTGGAATTTATCAAAAAGTCAGGGAAAAGTCAGGGAATTTTTGTCATCATTCTCAAATTCTTCTTGGCGATAATATTGTAATTTCACTCCCAAACGAAACTTCCCAAATGTTCCCGGTTTTCCGATGTATATTTTTATTTATTTGGATTTCCTGTGGTAAAAAATGAAGAGGTGAGTTAGATACCAGTTGTGGATTTCCTGTGGTGAAACTGGGTACGAGTTTTAGTCGGCCATCKTGGAATGCTAGCGAAGGTAGTGTTGGAATGCTATTGGAATACTATGCATTTTAACTATTTTTATGGATTTATTTTCAATCATTTTTAGCAAAACTTTTAATTATATATATTCAAAGTGTTTTTGTTAAATAAAAGTTAGTTTTTATAGTTTTTTCTAGCATTGGCTAATAGTTTTCATCATTTTAGACCAATTGCAATATCCCCCGGGGGGTTACAGAGAGTAATAAATTTAAAAAAAAATTTTTTTAAGCTGATTTCTTGAACGCTAGCTTGCTGACAACATGAACAACTGGCTGCCAACTATGAAGCCCTTGCTTTCTATGCTCACCGCACATCCTGCCTCGCCTAGTTATTTAATCATGATAAACACATGTCTATCACTCACTAAATACACAACACTCGTTGGGGTTACTCGGGTCATTTATTGTGCGAGACCAATTGCAATATCCCCCAATCCCAAGACCCCCCAATGAGTATGTGTAGTTAGTGAGTAATAGCTGTGCCCATCATGTTTGCTACTTGTAGCTTGTATTTTAAAGAGCTATCTAAATACCGTTCATATGCGTTTGAGAGCCAATCTCCCTGTAGTTTTATGTAATGCGCAGGGACACCACATTGTAATGCAAAGGTTGCCCCTCCTCTACGGAAGGAGTGTCCTGAGTATAACTGGCTATCGAGTCCGCCATGAGCGATAATTGTCTTAAGCCTTTGAGTAAATGTTGCGTAAGTTAGTGGTTTGAGTTGGCCATTTTGTTTGTAAATGAAAGCAGGTATATTGTTTTGTAGTGAGACACTGTCTCTGATACCAGCTAGTTCGAAAGCGTTGATAATCGCAGCACGCGGACAAAGTGTTGAGCCATCGATTCTTGGAACGGGCACAAGTAGGATTCTATTTCGATATTGAATGGTCTTAGACCAACGTACAATCAGCATCAAGCCCCATTCATATATGCGGATATCACCAGCCCGTAAATGTTTTTGTGGATCGAAGGCGTTCCCAGAAAGAATCAGCAGGTTAGATTTTCGAAAAAATGAAAAGAAGGCGACAAGGCATGCCGCCCAGAAAGTCGCATCCATTGAGTTGCCTATGTCCAGATGGCCATAGAGTTGTTTTAAAATAGTCGGCGTGATGGGCAGCTTTTGCTGGGCCGGGTTACTCTTAAGACGCTTTATACCTCGCATTAACAATTCTTTTTGGTACTTAAATAGCGGTTCTTGTAATGGGTTAGGGAAACCGTATTGTAGATGCAGTATTCTTATCACATTGAGATAACAAGGAATACTAGTTGGTGATAAAGTTCTGGTAAGAAATACAATGTAGCGAAGCAAGTGAAGGGCCTTRCATGGAACAGGCGCGTAACCAAAGTACACRCAGAAACGGATGTAGCATCGTAGTTGTGACTTGTAGGTCGCCGCGGTTGATTGAGCGAACGCATGGCCACGGAACTTTCTTAATTCGAGGTCAAGTTGCTGCTCCTGAGCATGAATTGGACCTGCGGGGGTAGASAGGCAAATGCATTACGCGAGAAATGTGRTTTACTTGGTGCTTTTGATTGTTGTTGCAGTAATAATAAACGTTTGGTGAACAGTTCGCACTGAGAAGGCACGTGTRTGCGTGATATTGCGTCGGCCATGGTGTTTGAAGTTGTTGATATGTAACGGGCAGTTATTCGAAAATTGTGCGTAGCCGAGAGCCAGAAAACTTTCCGCAGCCATCGCATGACTGTTTGATCGCGTGACGTGCCTTTGTTGATTACGCTAATCGTGGTTGTGTTATCAGAATACACAACTATCCATTTGTTTCTGAGGTTATCTTTCCATCTTTCTAGCGCAGCTAATACTGTGAATGTTTCTTGCAAATTGATGTGTGCCGCGGATAACTCGGGATGGTCCTTGTTCCAGTTAATGTAAAACCAATCACCACCAAAGAAACCTCCGCCACCGAYTGGGCATGCGTCAGTGGAGAACTCTTCTTTCTGTACTGGTTCAGATTCAACGAAAAATATTTTCCCGTTAAAAACGCCAAGGAATTTCGACCACCATGCCAAGTCGGCTCTTAGGTGGAGGTTGGGTCGGATGTGGTGATGTGGGCGTCGCATTTTATTTACTGTGTCAATTATTCGCCGCAAGAATGTTCGACCGCCAAAYACTACTCGCGCCGCAAAATTGAGTTTGCCAACAAGGGACTGYAAGTCCCGTTTCGTGACTGATCGCTTCGCCATAGTTTCGCTTAATAAAATTCTTAGTTCGCATAGTTTGCGTTCGGGCAACGTTAGTTGCCTATGCACAGTGTCAATTTCTATTCCGAGAAAAGTCAGGTTTTGACAAGGGCTAACAGCCTTGTCCCAGTTTATTTGTAGTCCAAGTTCTCCTAGCAAAGTTATGAGTCCCTGATATGCTGTCTGACATTCATATTC